AGTACCTTTAACCAACTGAAAATAAGTAACTATAATAACGTTTGAGTGTTCTGAGTACTGAGTACATTTTCCTTAAAAGTTGCTTGTCTCATTTAGACATCAGACCATTAAAATGGCTTCTGTGTGAGGAAGGTCAACACCTAGCCTTCCTAAGTAATTTTTTTTTCCCTGATATTTTTGTGCTAAGAAGACATTCGTAAGTATCAAGAAAAATAGTATGTTTTGTCACATGCCTTGCTGTCATGCAGCTATCTGCCCATGACACACTAAGGATTTGAAATAGAACAAAGAAAAGATATCTGTTTGTAGGTGTGTTCCCAATTTACTGTCAGAGGTTTTCTTTTCATTGAATCCTTTTCTGATAGCTGATCAATGCATTGTTCAACTAAATTCATCAGAGCACAGAGGAGTGTCGAAGTATTCCTAGAAATAATATAGTTTAGCTTTTTCATTTTGCACACAATTCTCTGATTTAGGGACTTGAGGTTAAAACTGAACTAGTAATTTTCAGGCTGAACATAATTGTAATTGATAAAATTAATCATATAAGCTGTCTAGATGTAAGGAAACATCGCTAAAAGATGGCAAAGTGGAAATCCAAAAGTAATGTCAAAAAGCAAAATTTCTGAAATATGAAGTATGCTTTCTATGAGATTTTCAGTATTTTTATATTCTTCAGTTGATCACCTGTCATTTACGTGCACACAATTAAAGGATGTTGGAAGGAATGAAAAAACTTATTATTCAGCTAGATGATATGTTGTCTTGCACTTTAGGATAGAAGCAATGGCTGCAAATTCAGAAAGGCTTGCAAGTTTTGAGTATTTTGTTTGTATGTTTTTCTCCTCTCTCCACTTTATCATATTTTCCTGATGATTCTTATATACTAAGTATTTGAAAATACTGTATTAAGAAAGTGTGGCACAATGCTTATGTTCTTCTACTGGAAGTATTAGAGCTGTACTGATTACATGTTACTTTAAGCAAACACAGGAGAAAAATCAAACCCAAGACTGTGGCTGCGTGCTTAGGAGTTAGTCCTGTGAGTTACAAATTACAGCTTCTCCTTTGGAGAATATGAATCAGTAAGAGGAAAATATATTTTCAGTCATGTGCTTCTTCCATGATAAATGGTTCATGGTGAATCCCATCCTATGGCACAGCTTGTTAAACAGTGCATGTGATCTTTATAAAAAGCCTGTTTTTTCAAGCAGTTGGTTATGCTAATTCAAAATACAGCTATGAAAAATATATTCCTCTTTTTAGCTAATACAGGTGCATTTGCAAATGAATCTTAAGTTAGCCTGCAGAATGCAGTCAGTGCTCTTACACAGTTCTTTCCGTTCCCCATCTTAGCTGTTGTCCCTTAAACAAGCTGCTCTTGCAGACTTGCAGTGTTTTCAAAGCAAAAAGCCACTCTTCATTCCCTCAGCAGAATCAGAAACCTATACCCTTTTCCTCTTGTTTTGAAGTGATGTGGTTTTAATTATTGCTATGTTTAATTCCTTCAATTTCTTTTACCTTTCTCACGAAGGTACAATTTTGTTTTTCCTGGTTGCTTTAAGATGCTTATCAGTAGGTATGTATCTGAATAACTAGGTGCAAGAGTAATAGTTGTTTCCAATCTGGATGATCACTCCAGGGGTCCACATGACCCATCGTGAAATTAATCAATTATGGGTTAGTCAATTTTTTCTTGTATGCAATTGTGAATTTTATTTTATGGAGATAGAGGTTACTAGGACTCAATAGATATGCCATGTTTGCTCATAGCAGTTTATTTTAAACATTTGGATGATTGCTAGTTCTCCAAAAGATTTTAACGTCAGCATTAGGGAATAGGGAGGGAATCTTAGCAGAGTTCTATTTGTGATAATAGTAATCCAAGATGATAGTATATGCAGACAGCCAAAGCCTCTTAGGCTGTAACACTGATGTTGTAACAAAACCAGGGTATACATCAAATGCATAATTAAGAGAGGTGGTATTCTGGTTGAAAGCCATTGTGAGATATGTTAATGAACAGAGGAACACCTTGTCATTCAGAAGAGTGGTAAGATTATTCTAATCCTCCAGTCTCTGAAAGAAATAGAAATTGTCTGTCTGAGAAGAAAGCCTTAAATAACAGGCCAAAACTCAACTGGGGTCCTCTCCCTTTCGTTCCTTTCTTGTCTCTAGAGGGGCTACCGAGTTTCCTGGGTTGCTGTGAAGTTTCACTTTCATATGAAAAGGTAAATTAGTTCACTCTCAAATGCAAGTACATTTCAAATGACCCCAACTGTTTGGCAGCAGTGTTGGCAGAGGGAAGCTGTTAGGGGAATTTGGTTCACAGCCATAGTTCACAGCTTTTAAAATGTGGCTATAAGGTTTTTGTAATTCTGAAAAAGTATCCCAGAATCAAAGGGTTTACTGCTCAGTCCTAATTCCTTTAAAGTATTCTAAAGTAGATGTTGGGAAAGAGGGAAGGAGGGAGAGAAGGAAAGAAGGAAGAATTTCCTTTGACTTCCTATCCAACTTCCATATCCCTAGTGTGTTTTAAAGGTGCGGAAGCTTGACAGTGTTTTCTTCAGTCATGTTCTGCAGTTCCTGTTTTGGTGCTTTCACTTAAATCATTAATTTAATGGATTACATTTTGAGGGGGACAAACCCTCATGATCATCTTCCAGGTCACGATAACATGCCATGATAACAATTAAAAAGAATTACAACCCCCAGTTCTCAACCTGGGAATTCTTCAAAAAAATCTCAAATGTATTATTTAAAGAGCTGTATGAATATGTTAATGAATAAACAGTGTGAAGAAACATGGCAAAAAGCCGGATTTAAGGTGTTCTTTTATTGTGTTACTTCTGTACCCAAAGCTACTTTAAGGTTCCTTTAGTGAAATGATAGCATAAACCTTTAACAGCTAGAAATAAATTATAGTTTGGACTAGCATGTTACTGTTTTACAAACTTCTTTAGCAATCATTGCTTTCAAACATACCAAAGTTATTTTTATTTTCTAGTAACAGGTAGGCAGCTTTGAGTTGATAGAGATGATACTTTGTAGAGCTGAGATATTTTTGCAGTTACAGAAGGAGCATCTCATGAAGATGATACTATAGCCTCACTGAAATGTTGCGGAAGCAATACCTGTGTTTACTTAGTCCTTTTTTATTCAGAAAGTTGTGTGTGGATTTCTGTGGTCAGAAAAGGTGGTATTTGTTCTGGCAGGAGTTAGGAAAACAGCCAGCCTAAGGAAGCAGAATATCCCTTGGCTATGCCCTTAGCCAAGGCAAGCCCAATCTTGCCCTGTGAAGGAGAATGGCTTGTGTCCTGTAATGCTTCCCTGCCACTGGTGGCAGGTGAGGAGGAATATGCTAGACAAGCCCAAACAGTGGAAAGGAGCAGTTTATCTGTGGGAATCAAAACAACAGACAGTATTTACATTCTTCTGTCTCCAGTCCTATCCTCTCTCACTATGGAGCGGTTGTTCAAGTCTGCTTAATCACGGGGCCAGAACAGTTTATGTAGTCTGCTGTGAGCATGCCTTCGCTAACAGGGAAAAAACCTATACATTGTCACCACGATGCGCAGGTATGCGTGAGAAGAGGGAACTTCTCTTGTTTGCCGTAGTGCACCTAGAATTCAGCTAGGTACATCATGGGCACAATTAAGATTTTTTGCCATTTAGCATATAGTAAAGGATCCTCTTCCAAAACTCATCAGAGCTGGGAAGTGGATTTAGAAAGACAAAAGTCGACAAGGGAAGTTGAGGCCACCTGTATCTGGTGAAGCTTCTTCATTTTGTTCCCACTCATATTTCACCCTTCCTCTTCAAAGCTTTATGAAAGATGGTGGCAGAATCCCAGCAGTGCCTGCCCTGAATTGGATGCACTGATGGCAGGAACAATCGAGGAACACAGTATGGTTTTATTGCTAGGTAGTGTTTCCAGATGACAATGAAGTTGCAGCCTAATTAAACCGCAGCCCTTGTGTGTCTGTATAGCTGGGACAATGGAGACCAGTTCTTGGTTTCATTCAGATGCTAGTGTAATCTGACAGGTGCATTATGTGCATGCCTAAATCAATGAACAGTAAAGGGAAATGTCAAGCTGCTTTAAAAGGGAGATGGAATCATGAGAAGTATTTCAGTTATTGAATTTTGGACCTCATGAGGGATTTTGGAACAGAATGAGCTATGAATGTGCATTGAAAATCCTAATAATGCTGGAGTTTAACAAAAAAAAAAACACCACCCAAAAGCCTGACTTTTTTGTTAATTATGTAGTGCAAAAGTGAGAAAAAGTACTATTGTTGGTAGTTTTAAAAGCTTTATTTGGGGGTGATCTAAGCTTAATTTTTTTTTAATTATAAAACTTTGTGACTGATTAATCAGAAAAGTATGAATTTAATTTACTGTTTGCTTCAGGGATGCATTCACTCTGCATATCGTTTAGTTTTTGTTGCATTTTAAGAGAATAATTTTTGTATTTGGTATTTACCTGTAGTGACTGTGGAAACTGATGGTATATTCCTAGTGGTGCTATTTGCGTTGCAATACTCATAAAAATCACTATTTTAAACACTATTTTAAAACTTCTTCATAGCTCATGCTTTTCAAAAATGCCACAACTGTTAACAGGTACATTTTACTAAATTTTTCTGTGGTTATCTCAGTGGGATCAGTGCTTGTGAAAAGTATGTCAAGAGTCTATCTTACACACATTGCATCTAAATGTCCCATTAATTGTAATATCTGAATAAATTTTGAATGTAATAATGCGGTACATTTTTGTTGACATTCTGTGCTATGTGCTGTCACAGTAAAACCACACAGTACAGATTCACATCGTGTTTGTGAAAAACATTTAACAGACTGAGTAAATTTGCATGTATGATCTCACACCTATTTAAAACTAATCTGATGAGTAATATGTAACCTAGTTGCTTTCAGAATGACATTTTAACTGTTAATAATTGTAAATAAATACTTTTTTATTGTGTTTTCTTCAACAGGACACTACAAGTATAGAAAAAATGTCAAACTGTTGGGAAGACACGTAAGTGCTCTCAAATTTCTGCATTTGTTTGCTGAAAAGCTGAAGGAGTAGCTGGGGGTTTAAACTGTGTGAAAGAGAAAAGGAATTGCAGGGACTTTGTTAAGATTATTTTTGTGTGGTGTTGTGCTCTGTACTTCCTATCTCTAGCAGCAGTTCACTAATCTTTTAATATTGGTTGTACACAAAGTAGCCTCACATTAGTCCCATTCCAAAACCAGTGGAACTATATTTTCTTTCAACAGTAAAGATCAAAAGACACTTTCTGCTGTGTCTTGACATACATTTAATTGATTCAGAGGTTCTTCTCTGCTTCAGCAGTTGCCTTCGGTTGATTGACGACACAGATAGTTTCTGTTCTCCAAAGTTAAGTCTCAGCTGTGTGCCTTAATGAAAGAAAAGCTGCATTTATGATGCTGGGACACAATTCATCAGAGTCCAGTATTGGATCCCCAGCCAACCTGCATTGTTCTAGCTGACTGAAGTGCACTGTGGGCGTGCTGTCTTTCACTAATAATGCTGTCTTCTGTAGATCGAGGCCCCAAAAGCCATGGCAGCAGACCTTCTCAGAAGTTTTTGGCACTCACTGGAAGATCCTGTGGTTTATTCCTTTCAGGCAGAGGCAACCACTGCGTGTTCCCTACCACTTTGCCAATCACGTCTAAACAGATGGATGGTGGGCACAGATGGGTCCTCCATGCTGGAAGTGCATTACAGGTTTTATGATAATAGGACTATGACAGTCTTCAAGTCAATTAAAATCCACCCACCAATCATAGGCACAACAGTGTGCTCTAGTCTGTATTTAATAGTGGTCTTGATTCTGTTCTGAGATTAATACAAGTTGTATGTTTCATCTTAGGCATATTTACTTCTAAATTAGCTTTCCAAGGGGATTTCTTTTGTATTTGAGGTTAATACCAAAACCAAATGACTGGAATGCAGTCTTACTCTATTTGTTTCATACTGGCTTTTTTTTTTATTTCGGTAGAAAACACTGAAGTTTACATTGATTGTTAGCTTTCCCACTAAGTGTCTTATTCAGCCTTGATTTTTTTATCTGTAGGTGTGTCTTGATAATATTTATGTCTTTTTTCTGCTACATGTATTTAAAATTCACTGACACTGCCATTTATTTATGATATGCAATAGTAATCCTGTGGCACTGCACTATAAAAGGTAACGTATAAAACCAATGCAGACTTCTTCCAAAACCTTCCCCAAAGAGATTTATAAAAATACATGTCAATGTATGTGTTTATATAGAGAAATCAAACATGTTACAGTTATCTTTCTGCATAGATATGATCCTAGTGAAAAATATTCATGTCTTTATGTCATCAAAGGAGATGATATGTTCCAGGGTAAAGTATGCAGATAGAAAGCATGTTTTCCTTATATCACAAGGATTTCTTTGCAATAATTCAATAAAAAAGTTGTATGGTGCAAATACTCAAATGATTACTTTTCTAAAAATGTGGATTTAATTAGTTTGCATGATGTACCATAAAAAAGAGTATATTGTTAATAAAGTTATAAATTTTATGTTTCCTTTAGTTATGATTAGGTGGAATTGGTCTAAGTGTTTGTATATTGGAAATATATGTGAAAATATTTTAAAATATTTATACATCAGATATTTGGTACTAACATGAATAGTGAAGTACATTAACTGATTTAATAGGTTACTATGTCAATGTAGATAGCTTATTGTGGGCCCTTTAAGTGCAGAAGTAGTTAACTGAAGAAAGCATCCTTAAGGTTACGTTTGGTAAAATGATGATTTCCAAAGTACTGGATCAGCTTTGCTATATTGGAAAAATTGTGTAATTTATTCTGTCCCTCTGGATCTGTACAAATATCAGCGTGATATGATTTTTGAAAGTTCTGTGATTTTTTTGGAGAAATTCACAGCTTTGATGTGAATTTTTGTTCAGTTATGCTGCTGTGTTGTCTAACGGGACTAGGATCCACCTTAAATAACAGTCATGCAACAGGATAATGAAAGACAAAAAATCAGGATGTGATATAGGTAGTTTGGAGAGAATAGCTTGTTTACGAACAGTTCATTCAAAAAGAAGGGCTAGATTTGTCATGAGTTTTATTCATAATGATTTTTTACATCAGCTCTTTGAAAGTCGTAACATAGCCACTGCCAGTGTTGGGTGTCCCTTTATTGAATTAACAGGTTTTAACGATCTATTGAAAATTCTGAAAGGTACATCTTAAAAATGACTTGAAGCTTGAGGAAAGTGGATGAAAAGGCTGGAGCAGTGCTTGGAATTAAAAAGAATGTGCATACACATTATAAAGTAATGGCAGTATTCTCTCGGGGTTTTTTCTTGTTTGTTTTTTTGTTTGTCTCTTTGTTTGTTTTCCCGGGAATTTCACTAGTTAAGTCTTCGTGAAACACAGGGAAATAAAAGCAGTTCTGTTACCTGCCGGCATTGTGGAGCACAGGGGTACCAAACGAGGGCAGACGTCCGCGGTTTACCTGGCAGCGCGTCCTCCTTCGCTCCCCTGGCTCCCTCTGTTGGCCGCCCTCGGGAACGACCCGGTATGACCACATACAAGTATCTGAATGATAAGCCGCTTACTGGAGTGATAGAAAGAAAAGCCTTGAGGCTGAAGTATCAACCATACATTTAACTAAATCATGCACATAAAAACCCGGCCCGATTCTCAAATAAAAATGCTGTTTGCACAGATTGACAGTTTCTCAAATGTCTTCGGATTCTTGGATTTTTTGGTACTTTTTTTTTTTGTTTGTTTGTTTGTTTTTTTTTTTTTTGTCTCATTCTGCTATTCATCCTTAACATTAGGAATCAGTATGCAATGCAATTGAGGCAGCTACTTCCTTTTCTTACCCCATTTCTGAGTATGTGCAGGAGAGAAGGGAGATTTTGAACAGGCTTCATTTTTAAGAGGCAGTGCGCTATCTCTGAATAACAGGCCTCCAAAAGTGTAAAAGTAATAAAAATATTTTAAAAAATTATGTTACTAGTTTATTAATGTTTCTGAAACTGATTATCAGAAAGAGTTATTCCAGCAGGAAATGATCAGGTAGACTTTTATGATCTAGTTTGAAATCCTTTGAATCTTTACTTTGAAATCCCACTTATTTCCGTCTGGCTCTCCTTCATGATTTTTTTTTTTTTTTTAGTAGAAATTGCATTCTTAGTACTAATTAGTGCTTGTCATTGTTACTCATGTTTCATCCTAATGTAATATCAAAGCTACACATGCTTTAATGAGCACAGTTAATACTAGATGTGAACTTCATGATATTTTATTTTCTGAGGGGTACAAAGAGATCTCAAGGCACTAATGAAAAACAATCTGAAAACATTGGAAAATAACTGATTTACTTGCAGTATGGGGTAGCTCCTGGTAGGACCAAACAATGTTACCTCACTGTCTCCTCATAATACCAGAGATTCGAGATTTCATCTGGAAGATCTTAATGCCTAAAATAAAAGACTGTGCATTAAATAACTTTTACCAACCTATCCTTTGATCTGTTGGTTTCAAGGACAGGTTCCATTGAACAGATGGTAGAGTACCTGAGATATGCAGTCATTCTCAGTCTTGAGGAGGATTCATGAGTAAGAAACAGTCAAAGAAGCAAGTGGTAGGATAGATTTTGAACTAGGCAGCTTTCTCCTTGGTTTGAATCTAAAACTGGTTAATGTGAGTGGAATGTTTATGGAAGCACAGAGAAAATGAAGGTGGGGCCAAAAAAATTGTTCTGATTCATGACCAGAGTTTACCAAATGAGGTGAGATTGTGAAGAGTGGCAGTTACGCAGTAAATAAATACATATGCTGTCATTATGTGATGTCTTTCAATGTCCATCTTACAGTTGTCCAGTTTTGTGCAGTAAATGATACATTAGCCATTATATGCCAATGCAAGGAATGTAGGTGGCAAAGATAGGATTTCTGCAATACTATTAAAGTCAACTTTGCATTCAGATGAAATGTGTCAATAAGATGAGTTTTCTGGCAACCTGAAGTCGTTAGTTAACATGAAACGCTTTTTTTGTAATACAGTATTTAACTTATTGTCTCGCCTTCCTGCCAGCGGTACATCACTTACTGCAGTGTTTCTGTTATATATTCGAGGATGCTGTCACCTAGATGTATTATTTAACTTGGCTATCTCCACCCTTTGTCTTCATCATACACTGAACAGGTAACAAACTTTCAACTTTAAAACTGAGTGATAATGAGAGATGCTATGGGTTACTTTTGGGAAGAATTGATACTTCTAAAATACAGTGTCTGTTCATCCGCAACATACTGCGTGACTGAATACTTCAGAAAGCATTGTTCTTCAAAAGAGTTTTTACTGCTTCCTCAGTGGCTAAGCATCTTCTGTCTTGCCAAGCTGTGGTGGAGCAATGAAAGTCAGTTGTTGCAACGAGCTCGTCTAAATATCGTCTGTATAACTGTAAAACTGATTCAGATTTACAGTTGAATATGTGCTTTTCAAGTTAGAAAATATGAAACTTAAATTGTAATTTATATGCATTTCTGGGTGAATAGGTATTTCTGTGCACGTTCCTGAGACTCATACACCGTAGATCACAGTGTAGTTTATAGGTAGATAATTATCACTCTGTCTCCTTAACAGTTTCAATCTAAGGGCCAGGTAGCAAAATATTACTGAGTTTTGTAAACTAGTATTCTGAATTTTGTAGTTCACACATGTGATTGAGCTTTACTAATTCATTTATCTTGACTGTTTTCAAACAATGCTGTTTAATGCTTATACTGTACTTGTTGAAAATTACAAGATCTGGCACTGATTATGCCTGAATGGGTAACGTATGAAGTGAATGGATGAATAATATCAAAACAGGGAAACTTACTCTGGTATTCCTTTAATCAAATATAAAAGTGCAAGAGTATGTACATCTGAAAAACAATGTATTGTCTTTTTATTTTGTTTATTTTAGTCACGTAATCTTTCTGTTTTTTCTTTTTTTTATTGATTTAAGTTACAGATAATGTTTTTATTCCTACTGAGATTTCTTATGTTCTGTATTTTTTGGAAATCTTATTTTTAAATTAAAAAAGAAAACCAAAGTTTCTTTTTCTTCTCTGGATTTCATTTACATTGGTTTAAAGTTGTGTAAATCCTTTGCTAATATTTTCCAAATCTGTTCTTTTTTTCCTAATTCTTATAGAAGTTATTCTCATTGCTCAGTATTTTTTTTATTGTGACTAAATTAAGCTATAATCCCAAATGATTGTTTCTGAAAACTGGCCTGTGAAAAATCACTGAATAGTTAGTAAGGAAATTATTATCTGAGTTTGGTTGGTTTTAAGAGACCAAATGAGTGTTGGTGGAAATACTGAAAACTTTCTCTGTTAGGCGTATCTATTGGTATAATAACACTAGTTACAGTATTGGTTAAATTTCTTGCCTATATAATTATGTGTATGCAGATGTTTATGTTATACTGATGAATTAACCCTCCTACCCTCCCACCCCATCCTTTTTTTTTTTTTTTCCTTTCTTTATGCTCTTGTTATGGAAGGTAAGAACAATCAGATTTCTAAAGCAAGCTGCTCAGGGATGCAAGCACATGAGACGCAGGCACATTTATGCTAAGATAGAGTTCACAATTATCCATAACCCCCACTAGAGTAGGAGCCTCTGATATAACCATAAACTAAAAGTTACATGAATTGCCATTTTTTTTTTCTTCTTAATCTTTGGCTTGTATGTTTTTTTACAATGTATTAGATTGTTCATAATCATTTTTGGAACACTTTTTGAAAGAGTTAAATGGATCTGAATCAGCTAATCATCTGGTTTGTGTACCTGTGAATTTATGTCAGATTTTGATGCAGAGAGTTTTCACATGTTTGTCTCTTTCAAATGACGTGCTGGGTTTAGACATGTAAAAACAAGTGCAGAAGTATTAATGGCCATAGAAAAGTATAGGAGAGAGGAATAAAGTAGAAACTGCTGGGTATGATATGAGCAGTAGTCTCAGCTTTACAAGGGGTGAAAGGAAGATTTTAGACACCTGGGAAGACAGACTGCAAGCTGAAGAAAAGAGCCAGTGGTTATGCCTGAAAGGAAATGATTAAAATAGCTGAGTTGTGGCACTTCATGAATAAAGGAGCACAAACTACATGATGACAGTTTGTGGCACAGGACTTGCGTCTTCTGTTTCAACCCAGGAATCGAATTCTGGTAATAACAGTAGTAAAAATCACTTCCATACTGATCCTTACACAACAGCATAAAACCGACCTGTAAAATCCCATGTTCTGTCTGTATTCCAAGACAAGGCTGTAGTGCCTGTTGCCAACAGTTTCAGTTTCTTTTGTATGAAATTTCAGTGGGCCTCTTTTCCCCACGTAATAATTTTGGGTCTGGTTGATCTCTGCTATAAAATTTATTTAGTTTAGTATTTACAAATTAGATAGAACTGACTTGTGTGAATGTGTGCCTTCTTTTTGATGTGTGGAAGCAGAAGTCTATTCCCACTTGCCCATAAGAATAATTTTAAGCGTAGACTGCAGTAT